CGCGCCCGCGCGTAGCAGTAGCTCCGCCCCCGCGCACGCCGTCACGCTTCCGACTCCGCCCTAACGTGACGTCAGGAGGCGGGGGCTTTCCGACCCCTCCCGTCTTCTTGCTCTGCCTCCTCTCCCTGCCCTGGGCCGATGCCTGTCCTTTTGCGGTGGGCCTTCTAAGGGCTTTGGACCTCGGTCTTGTAGCTGGATCCAAGTGGGTAGGGGTTAGGGGTGGTCTCTCCAGCCTGGGATACCCAGGTGCATCGAGATACCTCTCCCCTTGCTGCCGCTGGGAAGTCCGCGGAGCCCATGGTCATCTTGTGCGTCCTACAAGGACGCCAAAGACACAGACGAGAGAAAGGAGAAAGTGTTTATAACTGAGGTGGGATAAACTGGGACGAGGCTTCTTAACCAGATCAAGGCCACCACCGTGACAGCCACAGGTCCCAGGACAGATCAGAAGAAAGGCATTTTAGTGCTGGACGAGAGCCAAGAGTTCACTTTACAGAAACTCTTAGTATGAGGAAGGACACGGAGTCTTAGAAAGAACAGGACCTGTCCAAAGTCATGGGGTTTGGTGGAAGGAGAGCTAGAACCTAGGCTTCCTTACTCGCCTTATTCTTTCCACCAAGGGTTACAAAGCCATCTGGATATGGCAGACCAAAGATGACCTGCCAGGGAACGATAACAAAGGTTATTTCAAAGGAAGTAAGACTGAGTTGTAGGCCCAAGTCCATATGACTCTTGAGTGTCAAGTCACTCATTTTGGCCTCACTTTTAATGTACACATTCGAGGGCTGGACATATAACCAAAACATGCAAGTGTACTGGATCTTCATATTCCTGTTCACTCCCCTAACCCTATTCTCCTTCCAGAGACTTTCTTATATATTGTCAGATCCCCTCTGGGACTTGGAATAGTTAAGAGAATTGTAGGGTGCTCAGGGACTAAATCGATTATAAAATAAACAGCCGAGTTAGGGGAGAATAAGGCATCCTAGAGAGGGGTAGGTTGAAGCAGGAAGTTAATATGAAGCTATGACTGCCTTGATAAGAGGGACACAGAGGGATTAAATGATGGAAAGGATTGTTAAACATTTTTGCACTACTTCCTTTGAAGGATTGTTAATCATTTGCACTACTTCCTTTGATGCCTCTTCAAACTCCTTAAAAATCTAAGTGTTTCTTTTTTGGCTGTCAGACCTGTGTTTCCTCTGAATAGTGTTTTCCAGGGGCATTGGCCATAGAGCAACCAAGACAAATTCAGGTTAGAGATTAAGCAGTTTCTAAGGTTTCTCTTTTCTTCAAAATTAAATTATGGGGGCCTGGGATTTGGCTCAGTGGTTCCGCTGCCTGCTTCCCAAGTGCAAGGGCCCAAGTTTGATCCCCGGTACAAAAAAAAAAAAAAATTAAATGATGCACCCAAAGTTTTCCTTGTGGTGGGCATTTTTTATCTGTACGTTTCTGTTAATCCTAACCACCTAATCTTTGAGAAGTTCTCAATTCTGACAGTTGTACTGTGCATGCAACACTGTGGCCTAAGTCTATTAAAAGAATAGGAACTTGCGTTGGTATACATAAATGTCTATTTATAATTTGGGAAAAGTTTCATATTTTGTGGGGGCTGAATCTTACTACTTGTGGAGCCCTTTGAAAAAATAATACAAAAATTACAAATACAAAATTAGGTTTAGTGGAGTTATTTGTAATGAGAAAATGAATCATAATAGATTACATGTTTTAAGAAGCTCGTAAGTACTACAAACCTTAAATGAAATATAGGCTACATGGGCCAGGGGTTTGGCTCAATGGTTGCGCCACCTACCTCACAAGCATAGGGCCAGTACCAAAAAAAAACTATATATATATATATATATATATGGGCTACAGGTGTAGCTCAGTGATAAAAAGCATGTGCCTAGTATGCATGACGCCTCAGACCACACATGAAATTTAGTTAACTACCCAACACATTTCTAATATTTTCTTCCTAAATGTTTTACTTTGTCTCTTCATGTGGCAATGATATTTTTTTTCTTAACTTGATTGCATGTATTATGATATTACAGAACATGTTTTGTATCCAGATGGTTCATATGTCTTATTCAATCTCAACATCACAGCAAACCTATGTGATCTCTGTTGCAGAAATGACATTTTTGTGGGGGGGTATTGGGGTTCAAACTTGGGTCCTTGTGCTTGCAAGGCAGGCAGTGGAACCGCTGAGCTAAATCCCTGGACCCAATATGACATTTTTGGTTTTGTTTTGTTTTGTTTTTTTGAGACAGGGTCTCACTATGTGGATGAGACTGACCTGGAACTCACTATGTAGCCCAGGCTGGTCTCGAACTCACAGTCATCCTCCTGCCTCAGCCTCCCGAGTGCTGGGATTACAGGCGTGAGCCACCACGCCTGGCCAATATGATATTTTTTTAAATAAATTTTTGCCAGGGATTTAGCTCAGTAGCATCGCACCTGCCTCACAAGCACAAAGTCCTGAGTTCGATCCCAGGTACCAAAAAATAAATAAATAAATTTTTAATTGAAAGGGCAGGAAGAGAATTCCTCTAACACAATAAGTAGATAATTTTGTTATCACTATTGATAGTTGTGTGATGCATAAAACACAACGTCACACATAGTGTGCATGCTGTTTATAGTATTCATGCAGGCATTTTGATTAATTATATTTCACATAATTCCCATTAAAAAAAAGAAATAAATAGGGGGTTGGGGATTTAGCTCAGTGGTCCTGCTGCCTGCCTCGCAAGTACAATATCCCAAGTTTGACCCCCAGTGCCAAATAAATAAATTTTTAAAAAACAAATAAATAAAATATATAACGCCTTTAAAAGGAGGCATAATGCATTACTGAGTATATGCCTGACGTGAGATAATGTCTGTTTTGACTTGACATCAGTGAAAACCAGATCTCCACTTGCAGTGCGTATGTCTGACGATTGGAAGAATTTTCTCTAGACAAGCTCCTGGCTCTATACAGTGCAGTCCTTTCTTCCATACTACTTACACATTTGCAGTGCCAGCCATATGTTCCTATCGCATTGTAACCTCCGGCCCTGCATCACTGTGACAGGATGCAGGTGAGTCAGTGCAGTGGGCCGTGACAGCGTTCCCAGAATCTACTGCTAAACAAAGACAGCCAGCAATAACTTAATTAACTGGAAATGACCATAGTCCATGTAAATACACTCACTAAGCTTGAAATTATATATATCCCCAACTCAAATTTCCCTTAACCAGATACTCAAAATATCCTAAATTACTCCAATAACAGCTGATGTAAAAGGAAATGTGCCAAAGGGAAATTGTAGTGAAAAGACACACTTTCCTAGACATTCTTGGAAGAGACCCAAGCAAGTGGGGAGAGCTAAAGTTTCATTAACTTCATGATAAATCTGACTTTTAGTTATTTTTAATTTTATAAAAGCAATCATGCTCATCCAAACTAGTGAAAGCAACCAAAAACTTTAAGAAAAAATGCAGAAGAGAGGGCCAGGGTTTTAGCTCAGAGGTTCTGCCACCTGCCCTACAATCACAAGGACTCAAGTTCGGTCCCCGGTAACAACAACAACAACAAAAAAAAAAAAAAAAAAAAAAAAAGAAAAAAAAAAAAAAAAAAAAAAAAAAAAAAAAAAAAAAAAGGAAAGAAAGAAAAAGAAAATTACAATAAATATTCACTTGGAAAAGACAAATAGAGTACACTAGGATAAATAGATGAAATATATCAGTCACTTTTCCAATGCACTTCTAGAATCCTGCTGGGTTAGGTGCCACCTCTTCCTCCTCCTCTTCTTCCTCCTCCTCTTTCTCTTCTTTCACCTCCTCCTTATAATGAGAATGAAATAGAATTAATCATAATTCCTACAGCTGTGGTTTATGAAGGGTAAAGAAAGTTCTTCACTTAGTCTTCTTTCCAAGGAATTCTCTTGCCCTTTGTACTCTGTGGCCCCTGGCTTTTCTGTCCTGCAGTTATTTTTTTGTGGCTTATCACATTTTGTCCACTATCTATTTGCAAGAACACAGTCACGTGACCACACTTAACTGCAGAGAAGGCTAGAAAGTATTGTGTTACTGTATATTCTAGAAAAGAGAAGCATTTGTGACAGCCAGGTGGCCTCTGCCACACTCCCCTTGTTGGCACTCATTAGTTATGATTTTTCAATTCATTTATTTCATTAATTTTACCTGACTGCTGTATGGGAAGTGTCCTATTCATCAGACTATGAATTGCAAGGAGGGCATTTAGAACACAGGAAAGAGAGTATAACCCAGTGATCAAGAGCACAGAATCTAGACCAGGCATGCTGGTGCACCCCTGGTATCCCAGTGCTCTGGGAGGCTAAGGCAAGAGGATCACAAATTCAAGCCCAGCCCGGACAACCTAGCAAACTCCTGTCTCAACAGGAGCTGGGCATGCAGCTTGGTGAGAAGGCCCAGGGTGGGAGCTGGGGATTCCATACGTGCTAAACAGTTACCAATCACCAGATGGTTATTTATATTTTCCACCCTAATGAAAGATTTTCTTTTTCTTTTCTTTCTTTTTTTTTTTTTTTTTTTTT